TGTACAACTTGTTTTCTGTGTTAGAATAAGTGTTATATTGTTTACATTACATACAATGTAAAACAAAAGTATCTTGTGCGACAACGTACATCAATTAAAAGTCTCCAATAAAACAATAGATAGAACTTATCATTAGTTATACAAGGACGGAAACAAAAAGTCTGCCATGGTACAAATACGAAATCGAAGAAAATGAATAGTGACAAAATGTTAAGGAATAAAAAGTCTCTGAAGAGATAATGTACAGAAATGAAAAACCATAGAAAGATTATGATAATACAATAGAAAACAAATAGAAAAGCAAAAGGAACTGTGTAGGAAATGAGCCGTCAACGGTGACACAATGTGTAGGGAAAAACTCCTATGATACGATGTACAGGAATAGAAAGGTTATATATTCAGAAATCTACATTAAATTCCATTTTTTTCATGGATTAATCAAATGATACATAACGATGGTAGGCTGTGCAAACAATTTATATGTATACAAACATTATCACATTTACATTAGATTACATTACAAAAGACAAACTACAACTTAGCCATGTTTCTGTATTGCTATCCCCGAATACTGGCTTCTGATAAGAATACCCCCTGTCCCGTTTTAAGTGAAGGAATAAGAAAATATGCTAAATATACGTCTATTACCTTAAGCATTTGATTCATGAGATGTGATACCATTTCAACAAAGATACTACATATGTTGTTGATTCAAAGGTCATGTATACAATCTTTGCACGTTCTTAGGGTGACCTTGTTAGGTTACATTGGTATATATGTGATACATTTATTTCAGATCCAACCTAAGACCTATTGCTCGCCGATAGCTTTTAATTGGAATTGTTCCATTGCTATTCCGGAAACCACCTGGCACTTTCTACAAGGAGCCATCAGCTGNGTTCCGTTGCTATTCCGGGAACCACCTTGCACTATCAACAAGGAGCCATCAGCTTGTGCCGATGCTGTACACCAGTCTACGGATGGAACGGTAAAACTATACCTTTCTTACACATTCTCTAAACCTGCAAAAACCAAAATCAATATGTTATTGCTGTATAAAAAAACATCTCTGTTATTACCCACTAATTTTTTTTCATTGTTTCTTACATATTCTTTTTGATAGGAACATTCACAATTTGTCAAAGTAATGGAAAGTCAGATCAACTGACTCCTTGTGGTGACGGATTTCACAACTGGAACAGTCCCTTCTCATCCGCGGAGTATGTCGAAGTCTCTGAACACGCTTACTGGGTGTGCCAAAAACAAAACCCCTTATCCGGTACGTAACAAACGTGTTTTCGCTTTTTGTCATGTAGACAGGCGGTACTTAACAAACACTTTTACTTTCTCGTGTATAAAACCAACTTTAGAGGTACGTAACAAAATATTACTTCGTACTCAACATAGACTACAACCTTAGACAGTACGTACAAGATCCTTTTGACAATCGATGTCATACATTTTCGATTTGCTTCTAATAATGCTTTTCTGTGATGTGCACTATCAAAACCTTTTACTGTACCAATTGAGTTGCCGCCAGGATCCAATGCTTCTTTCCATATAACACGAACTGTAAGAAAATGGATGATAAAGACACGCCCGAATATAAAACCAAAATGTTAATTGCTTAATATATCGTTATCCTTCATACCCGTGACTTGTTTCAAACATGTATACAAAGCGACGGAACACGATTATTTGATCAATCACACTGACTGCTAAGTTGAAAGTTGAAACATATTCCTGTTCAAAATTGGTTGTATACGTACATACACCATTCTGACTGAATACGGTACAACGGCCAAGTTTCAAAAGTTATTCTCCAAATAATCTATCTTGAATTTGAAAACAACCCAAAGTACCCAGCAAACGTTTTGTTATCCGACGTACCGATCATACCCTTTGTATCTACTGTAAGTCGTATTATAACAGGTCGACTTCTTCTCTGGTTGACACCTGTTTTATACGAAAAATCACAAGAAGACTAATTTTCAAGGCATTTTGCCGCTTCACATACATAACATATAAACTTCTTATGATACAATCATAATACATAATTTTTCAATATTTGTATTACAGATTCGGACATTCCACATGTGATTTGGAAGCAACAGGAGTTCATTGTTAGAAAGGGCAAGTCCATCACACTTTTGGCTGAAGTTCACTCGTCCACAAAGGTGGTCAGGGTTGCTTTACTCCACGAAAATGTGAAATTTCCCCTGTTAGATCCGAAAATGTCAAGTGACGTCTTTCCGCACTACGATCACAGCTACACCGTGCACTTCACGCTCAGAAACGTGACGACATCAGATGGTGGCCGGTACTTCAGTGTGGCCACCAACAAACAGACTAGTGGATGGAGTGGTATAACTCGCCTGGCAGTTCTGAATGGTATGTAGGTCAGTTTTTATCCTGAGGGATCAAACAATAAAATCTAAGAAATGATCGAAGTGATGCAAATATATGCGTTCACTTGCTTAGAGAATCTATCACTAATCCAAATCGCTTGCGAATATTGATTCAGATGTATTAAATTATGTACGTCTTTAACATATTGTTTTTATTGTCACGAAACATCATTGTACGAGTACCAAATAGGTACAAAAAATATAGCAATACAAAATGTGGTCAGAATGATAAAATTCGTATAAGCCGAAAGTGTCAGTGCTGTGACCTTTAACATTCCCTAATGAACAATGTCA